TGGGAGGCGTAGCAAAGGTACGGTCAATTACCATGTTTGTCTATTATTAGATAGGATATATCTATATATATAGAGAGAGAGAGAGAGAGCGAGAGAAAGAGAGAGAGAGAGAGAGAGAGAGAGAGAGATGATCTACTTAATATAGTGCAAGAGTTCAAGACTCAGAGAAGGCGACTGAATGTTGTTACTATAAGGCAGAAAATGGAATTTCCTAAATAATGATGATAATAAGAAAATAGCAAAGCTTGAGCCAGTGGTTTTAAGAGTTCTTGGGAGGCAATGAAGCATAATGTGTTAAGAGTGTAGGCTCTGTTTTCAGATATCTGAAACCAAGCTCTACTACTTACTAGCTCTGTGAGCTTGAGCATATTCTTTAATGTTTCTGTGCCTCAATTTTTCATATGTAGGATGAAGATAGGAAGAACATATACTTTACAGGGTTGTGAAGATTAAATTAGTAAAGCACATCAAGTAGTGCATGTTGCATGAGATCCAATTAGTATTACCTTTATTATCAAAATTGGCTATCCAAAAAAGGAAGTTTCTCTTTCTTGTTGCTTCTTAGTGATAATTTAAGTCAAATATTTCCAAAGAATGCATTACCAAGTAGCTGTTAGGGACAGAAATAGAATATTGGGGATTAGCTACAGTTATAAGAAATATTAATCATGCTCGGTTAACCATGATAGTTTTGTTCTGATTAAAGAAAGCACATCCTAACCTGGCTGGGAGTTTTACGCCCATGGGACGTGGGAGTCAACCTTGGACCTGGGAATCAACCTTGGAATGAGGCCCATTCCCATCCTATTATCATGGAAAGATTAACAAACAACCATGTTGCCCAAACAATGGAGTCCTCCCTACATTGCCTATAACCTGTAATCTTTATACCCATTCTTATTCCTTTTGTCGACTTCCCCATGTAATTTTTGTCCTACCCAACATAAGCAGCTGGTTTATGGGGGGTGCAGAGCATATTTTCATATGACCTGCTGCTCTCGCACACTGCCTGCATTATTGGAAAAAATGCTCATATCTGATTCAACCCTGTCTCTGCTTAATTGGCTCAAGTAGTGACAGGCAGTCCAGACCCATTGGTTTTCCAGTTTCATAGCTACTGGACACACTCATTTGATTAGAACCTGTGGCATTTCTGAGAATCATCAGGTCTCCTCAAAGACTTGATAAGGACCACATAAGGAAATGACCTAATATAACCACTGCATGCTGGGAATGAGCCAAAACCAAATAATCAAGTTCATATATATTTTTTTGTTTTTGCTCCAAATTTATTCTATTCTAATTTTTAAAACAATTGCATTCAATTATTTAAACATATAAAAAGCAAAAAGCATTCATAAGAACTCCACAATTTCTTATTGCAAACAAGGCCAACTAAATCCATGTACTTGTTTCACCATTCCCTGGCACTGTTTGTGACTGCATGCCCATACAGGTAAAACCAGTATTCCACAAAATGCCTAGAGCAGCAGAGACTAACCATAGTATAGTGTCAAGGACATTCAGTTACTTCCCAGGGACCCACTACTTAATGTAAAAATGAAAGTTACTAAATTTTTTTCAGTCTTGTGCATGTCATGTTTCAATGTTTGGTGGGTAATATCGTAACCTTGAAAAATCTTGTCTGGTCACTGTGGCTCAGTGGTTGAGGGTCAACCTATGAACCAGGTCACGGTCCAATTCCTGGTCAGGGCACATGCCCAGGTTGCAGGCTCAATACCCCTTTTTAAAAAAGGGGAATTTTGCCGAAACCAGTTTGGCTCAGTGGATAGAGCGTCGGCCTGCGGACTGAAAGGTCCCAGGTTCGATTCCGGTCAAGGGCATGTACCTGGGTTGCGGGCACATGCCCAGTGGGAGATGTGCAGGAGGCAGCTGATCGATGTTTCTCTCTCATCGATGTTTCTAACTCTCTATCTCTCTCCCTTCCTCTCTGTAAAAAATCAATAAAATATATTTTTAAAAAAATAAAAATAAAATAAAAAAGGGGAATTTGTTGGCTTATGAAATCCAAAGAAGGATTGAACAGTCAAGTGTCAAGAATGGCAGGGCTGCAGAGGGGGCCCTTAGGAACAACTGGAAGGGCTCAAACTTTGTTAGGAGTCTTCAAAACATTTGGTTTCTGTTGCTGTCTATATGACAGTTTCACTTTCACTACTAATTGGTTTTCTCTAAAGGAAGAACTACATCCACAGTGTTTCTGAGTATATGTTAAAGCTTTAGCCATTGGAGAGATATTGCCCCAATCTATCACTTGTCCAAAGCACAAAAATTCTCAGGGAACCTGCTCTCTTGGCCCAGCAGAAGGTAGGTGCCCAATTTGTGGTCACCAGAGGAGTCAATTCCACAGAGTGCTAGCAAGATTATTCCAGGTGCTCATTTTCTTGGGTACTTTATGAAAGACAAGAACCTTGAATATGGTGCATGATATAGTTAGGTAGAAAGAAAGAAAGCCAGTAGTCCAGGTAGGGGGAGGAGGCTTTGAATTAGTGATGTAGGTGGTCTATGAATGAAAGACAAGTCTGATTGGAATGGAGGCTACATCCTTGTTCCCACTGACAATAACACTGGATTGCTAAGGTAAAAACTGGTTTTGATGAAACTAAAAGGTATAACAGAATTTGTTCAAGTTGAAGAAGCCATTATAGGTTTCTTGTATAGATTCAACTGTGACTCTGAAACCCCAGTTTATAACACGAACAAATCCTCAACCACTTCCTAGAAAGCTCCTTCCTTGTCAACTAAACTTGGTTTAGGGTTTTGGCAGTGGTTATAAAGAAGAATGGTTGAGCCTTGGCTAGTTGTTCAGCAGTTAGAACGTCGGCCTGTGCACCGAAGGGTTTTGGGTTTGATTCTCAGTCAAGGGCATGTACCTGGGTTGCAGGTTCAACCTCCAGCCCTGGTCAGGGCTCGTGCAGGAAGCAACCAAACAATGTCTTTCCCTCTCTCTTCCACTCTCTAAAAATCAATGAGAAAATATCCTCGGGTGAGGATTAAAAAAAAAAAGAAGATGAAGAATGGGTGAGAGAATTGAGAGAAGGGAAACTCAAAAGACAACACCCACTCATCGAATCTAGGAGCCTAGAAGAAGGATGATAGCATTTAATAGTAATCTCAGTGACGATTTGAACATAAGCATCTTGAAAGCAGGTGTCTTAATAACAATGCATCTCCAGGAATCTAGCACAATTGGTGCTTAATTTACCAGATTAATAAACTAAATGATTCTCATAAAATTAGTTAATAAAATGGCTTCTAAACCCCTTCTAGCACTACAATTTTATGTCCATTTCTAAATCCTGATCTTTAGTCTACAAAGTCCTCAAATAACCACACACAAAAAAGATAGGGTTTTAAAAAGGTTAAGATGGCCCTAACCCGTTTGGCTCAGTGGATAGAGTGTTGGCCTGCGGACTGAGGGGTCCCGGGTTTGATTCCAGTCGGGGGCATGTACCCTAGTTGCAGGCACATCCCCAGTGGGGGGTGTGCAGAAGGCAGCTGGTGGATGTTTCTAACTCTCTAGCCCTCTCCCTTCCTCTCTGTAAAAAAAATCAATAAAATATATTTTTTTAAAAAGGTTAAGGTGGTGAATTTAATTTTATGTATTTTTGACAATAAAAACTGGCCCCTAAAAGGATAGGTTGTTTAAAAATATACATTTGAAAATATTCCAAAGACATTTTATAAATATTTTTACCAAGAACTAAAGTTTATAAAAATACTGTATGTTCTTTAGAAAATTAAATCAACTATTCTGATTAATGGAGAATTTAGCTTATTGCAAACATAAAAACATTAGGGACAAATCAACACCTACCAAAATGTCTGGAATGATGAATAGGTAGATGTGGTTGGAGATTTCAAGTCCTGAATTTAAAAAAAACACACAAAACTTCTGTGTTGAGAATACACATGTATTTCCAATCATTTCTGTAAAATAAAAGTCATGAATCAGATTTTATTTTATTTATTTATTTATTTAATCAGATTTTAAGAATAAGAAAAGTGGAACTGAAAAGAGAGATGTCAACAAATAAAGGGGGGAAATTTAGAAAGAAAAAATGATTTTAAAAAGTACTACAGAGTTGGAATAAAATAAAACAGTATAATTTGTATGTTAAGGAAAGAATTGCTTGGTCATCTCAGCCTACATGTATTAAAAATAAAGTGGGTGAGAGTGCATTTATTTTGTTACCTGGAATACTCACCATTTTTCTGCATTTTTTTTTTTATGAATGTTTAGGACAAGATGATTGAAAGGTTGGGCACAGAAAACATAGAGGGTGGAAAACTCATTATCTATTAACTGTAAATTTTTATGTTATATTTACCATATTTCGTTTACATTTGTGTTATGATAGGCATCTTTTTTTCTCTACAAAAGAGCAGAGTTAAAATCAAAGTCCCTTGTAAGAGAATGAGGAATATGATAGACATCTTTTTGAGAATGCAGAGGAAATCCTTTTTTTTGAGAAATATTATAAAACTAATCCAGGATGCAGGATATAATTATTAGGTGTATATGTAAGAATTTAATGAACAAATTTAATTTACATGTTAAAAATATTCTAGTAGTAGTAATTTATGGTAAATAGTTTGCAAAATACAAATTTTATAGTTTAACAGACAAGAAATAAGTTGGGTTCCAAATAGGCAAGAGAAAATAAATTTATTTCAATGAATAGTCAATTTAAAATGAATATTATCAGTTTTTATTAAGTAACAGTCCCCCCACCCCCAGTTTTATCAAGATATAATTGACATAGAACATTGTATTAGTTTTAAGCGTACAACATAATGATTTGATATAGGTATGTATTGCAAACCTATTTGCCTGCAGACCTATGAATTCAAATAAATGCTTTAATTATTTCCCCTACTTCCAAAATCCTGTTCAAATCTATCCTTTTCCTTTCAATTCCCAGAACCATAGCCCTAGTTCTGGCCCTCATTCTCTCACCTGGTAACTGCAATCATCTATTTATCTGGCCTTTGGTCTCAGAAGGCTGGCAACTTATCTTTGATTTTCTTCCCAGGTATCTTTTTAAAGCACAGTTTTGATATTGTCTCTCCCTTGCTTAAAAGCCTTGCATCACTCCCTACTACCTACAAAATGTAATCCCCCGCTCAGCATGCAAGGCCTTTACAATTTGATCCTATCTTCCCTTTCTAACTCCATTCCAACTACCTTCCTACGCTGTACTCTGTGAGCTTCTGTTTACTAAATACATCTCTACACGTTTCCACCCCCTCTTCATTCCTTTTCCTCTCTTCCTACAATAGGCTCCTCTATCCATTGGTATCTTGCTCTTCAATTACAATCCATCTGAACAGGATCACCTCTTCACACCCCTCCTGCTGTCCTGGTGAACTTATTTCTTCTTCCCAGAGCATGTTGTACCATCTCTATTTTAGACTTTTCTCTGTTCTCTAGAGTGGGCACGACTCTGTCTCCCATTTCTATTGTGCGCATCTTGAGGGCAGGGATAGCCACAGCGTAACAACTGCAGCGGGAGGAGAACTGGACCTGGGAAAGCAGAAAGCACTTCCAATGACATAACCGCAGGGGAATTTTCCAGCCTGTTTCTTGGAAGAGGTCCAAATTCTTTCATTATAGGCATTCACCTTACCCAAAATGACTTCCTGAAATTAGAGTCCCGAGACTTTCTAATAAAAACGATTCTTTCTAGAAGTCACATCTGTAACGTGTGAGACCGACACCAAGTCGACTTCACCAAACTAAAAACATCGACACACTGCATCCAGCCACCAAGTTCTGTGCCAGCCCCGCAGCTATTAGACTTCATTAGAAGGAATGTCTACACGTGAGTCAAAAACACCTGGGACCTCGGTACTTCTGTTACAACATTTGGTCAGGGACACAGTCTTGGCCCGGGACCTCCATCTCGTCTTGTTACCACTGGTCCACTGGCACGTGGCTGGCAGGACATCTACCCGCAGAGACAGCTCCGTCATTACTTGTGATGATTTAGTCGAACGACTCGGGGCGCGTGGTGGTGGCTTCGCCTTCATCCACCATTTGATCCCGTGCCAGCAGGATATCCGGGTGCTCGGCCACCGGCACCGCCGAAGCGAGCCCCGGGATCGTGGCCTCTCCGGCCGGCG